TAAGGGCACTTAATGCTAGTACAGAGGACCCGGTCCAGTTCCCAGCACCCACAATCTGTCTCCCAACTGTCTTAACTGTGGCTCCAGGGGAGTCTGACTCAGTCTCCTGGCCTCCATGCGCATCAAACGTGTGTGTGTGTGTGTGTGTGTGTGTGTATGTATGTGTATTCAGGCAAAACACACACACACACATAAAATAAATTTTTAGAAAATTTAGAGTATGGTAAAAAAAAAATATTTGAAGTGTTTATTTTTTTACGTGACGATCACTGGCTGTTACTGTGATTCCTTCTTACTCACCTGGTCAGTGACCCAGGCATGGGCCAGCACCCGTGATTTACTGGGGTACCCACTGCCACAACTGTGAATTACTTTCCTGTGGAACTCCAAGGTGTATAGCTGTCCAAGAGGGCCCTGTGTAAGTCAGGGCGCTCTAGGGACACCCAACAGGATGCGTATAGTGAAAAGGCTTGGCCCACAGGAATATGGAGGCTAGGAAGTCCAAAGCAGTCAATGTAGACTTCATGTCAAGCTCAGAGCCCACATCTATTAAAGGATAGCAGTCTTTCATTGCTTTGATTGACTAGAGGAGGCCCATCCAATAAGAAGGGCCATATTCAAGGTCAGAGTTAATGAGGGTTAGCCTCATCCCTATACACCCTCATGGAAACATCCAGAACAATATTCGATCTGACAGAGTTGACACAGGAACTCTAGAGGTCTACCTTTCGTCAAGTTGACATCCATATGCAACTCCTTAAAACAATTTCAGCCTGAAAAAACGACAATAACAAGGCTTCCCCCTTACCGAGCAGGACTGAGCTGTGTGGACATCTTCCGGCACTGGCCCATTTCCTCGGGAAAGGGCACGGTCATCTTGGGCCTTCTGGTCAACCCCCAACAGAAAGTCATGGCCTCTCAGTGGTTTCCCTATCATTTCAATCCCCCGTTTCTCCCTTCTTTTCTCTCAGTTTCAACTTTTCTTTCTGAGGTGAAGGGGCCAACATTATAAGTGCTTGTGACTCCCCCAGAGGCTACTCACCCTGACAGAATCCCGAGCGACCTGAAGCACACTGGCCTGGCCTGCAGGTGCAGGGTGTGCTTCCAAGACCTGCACAATTGCCATTCACAACAAGTTTTGGTTCGTTTTTGCGTTGCAGCTCAGAGTGCCTGATACGGGGTGGTTTGCAGGGAACAGAGTTTATTTCAGAAGTTTTAGAGGGTGTCAGCAGAAAGCTGTGTCAGCCTCCGGTGAGGGCCACATGGGGGACCGAGCAGCTTGCTAGCCTGTCTTTCCCCTCTGTGAAGCCACTAATGCCCTAGTGTAGATGGCCCCAGTTACACCTGACCTCACCTCACCCCAGCTGCCTCCCCAAATGCCATCAGCCTGTAACTCTGGTGATGGAGATTCCAACACTTGAGCTTTTGGGGACGAACCCAACCCATAGCAAATCCTTAAAGTTAAGAAGTGCGGCGGAAGGCTGGCGCTGACTCAGCAGTTAAACGTTCTCACTGCTCTGGCAGAGGGCTGGGTTTGGTTCCCTGCACCCTCAGGGCAGCTCATAACTGTCTGTAACTCCAGTCCCAGGGGTGTGGGCTCCTGCATGCACGTGGTACGCATGTGTCCACTCAAGCACATAAACATGCACATTAAAGGGGCCTGCAAGGGTGAAGGTACTCGCCGCCAAGCCTAAAGACCCGAGTTTGATCCCCAGAATCCACATGGTGACAGAAGAGGACCCCCTCCTTCAGGTTGTCCTCCAGCTTACACGTGTGCCGTGGCGTGCACATGCTCCTATGCACATACTAAATAAATAAATCTATTTCTTTCTTTTCCTGTTTCCTTGAGGCACTTTTCTCTGTGTAGCCTTGGCTGTCCTAGAACTTGCACTCACAAGGCTGACCTTGAACTCACAAGAGATCTGCCTACCTCTGTCTCCTGAGTGCTGATGTTAAAGGTATGCTCCATTATTGTTTCCAGGAGGTGATGGCACCTGCCTTTAACTGCAGCACTTGGGAGGCAGAGCAGGTGGATCTCTGAGTTCATGGCCAGCCTGGTCTACAGAGCAGGTTTCAGGACAGCCAGGGGGCTACAAAGAGAACCCTATTTTGAACAAAACAAAACCAAGAAAATCGTTGTTTTTGTTTGGTTGGGTTTTTGTTTCTTTGTTTGTTTAAAGAGTCCTTTTGTAGCCCAGGCTAGCCCTGACTTTCCATTCTCTTGCCTCTGCCTCCTCAGTGCTGGGATTATAGGTGTGCACCATCCCACACCTGGCTTGCAGCATTCTCAGATGCTTGGGAAGCCACTGTGGGACCCCTCCACAGGCTGATCAAGGAGTGATGGAATTTCTGCACCACAGGAGCAAGTGTTCCTCTTCACAGACCTGGTTTTTTATGCCAACCTAAGCCTTCTTCAGGAGCCTGAGTGATAGCCTGGGTGCCCTTCTTCCTTGATACCCTGGCAGGCTGTGTGATACTAATTTGTCTGATCCCTCATACATAGAGTGAACCTTTTGTGGATTTCTGTTTCTCCTATGTATGTGTGTGTGTGTGTGTGTGCACTTGCGTGTGCGGAAGTACATGTGAATGTGGGAGTACACACACTTGATACACGTGTGTACATGTGTATCAAGGCTGGGTTTTGTGTCATCTAGCTTACTCTCTAATTTATAGTAAATAATGTATATAATATTATACATATAGCGTGATATATCATATATGAATTGCTACTTCCATCTAGTCTAGCTAGCCAGCTTGCCCCAGGGACCCTATCTCTGCTTGGACCCGCGCTTGTAAACGTGTGTAAATGTGTCCACATGTGTTCACCCCTGCCCTTAGGATCTTCAGACTCTCCCCACAGGTTCAGAGTGTTCCCCACATCCTCCTCCATAAGCTCTTTGTCATCCTGCTGTCCACACTCACCCCTTTATTCTCTAAAAGGCCAGGTGTATGCGTGGCGGAAGGCAAGGGTCTTGGTCCATTCTGACTGCCGTGATGAGACGCCCCTGTCAAGGACATAGACTGCAGGAGCTCGTCCTCCCCTGGTGTAAGCTGGGGGCCCGGGGTCAGGAGCCGGCACATGGTAGTCTGCTTCCAGATCTCAGACAGCCCATTTTTGAGTGTCCTTATGTTTCAGAGAGCTAGCGCTGCTCCCTTCTGGGGAGGCACTAACTGGGGTCCCGCCCCCACGCCCTCTTCTCACGTCAATCACCTTCTCAGCCTTGTCTCCAGATACCACCCCGCTGGTAGTCGGGACTCCACCATCCCTCAGCAGTAAAGTCCGGGCTTCCCTGCTGTCGGTGACAAGGCACTGCCATCAACCCTAGTCATTTGTCATTTCTGTGCTCTCAACCCCGGGGCTAATACAGTGTCCTCCTTCCTGCCCCACTGCTAAGTTTGTCATGTCGAGGGGCTCTGGTCAGCCTCGGCCTCTGCTAGGGTGCCTTAAATTTCCTCTCGTTTCTGTGTAGTCCGGGGTGGTATTAAACGGTCCTTCACTTTTCAGTGCTGTGACGGGAACTACAGGACAGGAGGACCCGACCCACAAGTCCTAGATTGTCCTCATGTTGCCTCCTGAGTTTATCTCTCTGTTCTCTGATCACTTGGTACTCTTCCCCTTCCCTTCAGATATGAGATGGGTGGGAGCCATACAGGAGCACAGCAAGGCCTGGCTGTTTGGAGCGTGGACCTGGGCTCCCTTGACTAGGTTTCCCTAGGAATGTGGGTGGGCCAGGGGGGACAGGCCATGCCCTGTCACTGTGGGGCAGGCAGACCCTGGTTGTGCCCCTCCCGCCTGGACGTCCTTCCCGTGGACCTGACGCTACCAGGTGGTTAAACTGGGAGAGGACAGAGCCTGGCTGCCTCTCTCCTGGTCTCCTATGGGGCTGCAGGGGTCACCGTCAGTGCTTGGCTTTTATCAAATACCTCTCACGCTGCTCCCTGGGAGCCTCAGAGCCAGGAGTCGGGCCTCTGAGGGAGCTACACTTGGGTGTGGTGGGCCAGCCTTCGTTCCTCCTGAGCTCCCAGAGGAACCAACCACGGCTTCCGGCTCCTCACTGAATCTCCCCTTTAAAGTGAGAGAAGCATATTTTTGCAGTCCCTGTGACCTGATTTCAGCCGTTTCCAGCTCGAGCTGGTAATTTGCTTGTTTTAAAAACATTCCGTTACACTCTCCACTCTGGAATATTCTCAGCACTTTGACTCGGCTCCTGAAAGTCTCTCTTGCTGCAGGATTTTATAAAAGCACAAAGCTTCCCATTGTACCTTGTGTTTCTGGAGGTTTTGTCTCTGTATGCTGGCCCTTGTGGCACTTGGGGGTCGTGGAATGGAAACCATCAGGCTATGTACGGTTCTGGTTGGAACCTTAGTGGAGTTTTTTTTTTTTTTAAAAAAAAAGAGCTGTTCTGTGTGTCACAAAGTAAAATACTCAAGGAAACTGGACCTCCCTCTGCCCCGAGGTCTGCTGGGCTAGAGGGACCTTGGGCCTGCGTGAGTCACCGTACTGGTACACGGGCTGACTTTAGCCTCCAGCCTAGCCCTCCACTTTCCCTCCTTGGATGGTCGTATGTAAATATCATGGTCCATTTGAACCTTGTCCCTGTGTGGAAAAAAGGGCCTGGTTTTTAGAAGCTGCCCAGAGGGAAGGAGGGTGAAGGAAAACCAGCAGGGAATAAGCAGTCAGGGAACTGAGTGGCCCAGGATGGAGGACCTGATATCCTGACCGCCGGATGCCAGGTATCTCCGCTACCGTGTGGGGCCTCTCCCACCTGAGCGGCCGGCTCCAGCAGCCACAGCTTTGAGAACATGAGAGTCATGTGAGGAAAGGTGAAAGGAGCCTTTACCCGGAAAAGCTGCCGTTTCAGTTCTGGCATCCCCCAGCCAGGACTGCAGCCTTAGCCAACCCGGACGGGAATGGCCCATTCCCATCTATACCTTGGGTTCGGGGCACGGGCTCCTGCATCACAATACTACTTCCTTACCCGATTTTACATCCTCTGTAGAATCCATCTACCGCCGCGGGGCCAGAAGATGGAGGAAGCTATACCGCGCCAACGGCCACCTCTTCCAAGCCAAGCGCTTTAACCGGGTGAGTGTGTCCCTCCAACAATGACTCCCTTGCACGGGTCGTTTTTATTGCTTGTACAAGTGGAGAAAAAGGGGGAAGGGTCCTTGCTCCTGCTGTGCAGGTCTGGGCTAATGCCATGCCCTGGGAAAAAAAAGTCCTGAGCCACCAGCCTAACCAGTATTGCGGGGCCGTGGAGATGTGCTCGGATCCTCTCCAGCCAGTCCGCTGAATGGCAGCGGCTGCATGAGAACGCGGCTGTGTCTTGGGTATCCTTTTCTGCTCCTGATTATGTAGCCTTTGCTCATTGTCTCTGGCCCTGAGGACCTGGCCTGCCTGCCTGTTTGGACACATGGTGCTTCTGGAGGGCTCTAAGGGTGTCCTTGGACCCCAAAAGTCCCAGATGCCTCTACCTTCTTGTCTCCTGTTACTCCAGTGGCCAGTCCTTTCCCAGTGACACTTGGCTCAGTCCCTCGGGTCTCTTCGTCACAGAGGTTCTTTGTTCTCGAGTGTGCAGGGACCGGGTGACTCTGTGGTGGCTCCCTCTCACAACCAAGGGCAGTGCCTGTTGTCCGCTGTGCCCAGGAAGCATACTTTAGAGGAGTGTAGGTCCTGTGAACACACGGGGACAGCACGGAGCCATTATGCTCAAGTGCCACTGCCCAGCCAGCCCTGTACTTTTCCACTCTCTGTTCCCAGGCTGGAACGACTCTTTAGCCTTGAGTGGCCACAGGCCTAACAGTGAGCTGTGGGGTCAGCCCCAGTGCTGCTGCGTCTTAGACAAGAGCTCCCTTCTGTCTTGTTTCCTGGTCTGTGACCTATGAACACCGGTGGGAGGGATGAGGAAGGAGCACAGGTCCAGTCGACCTTTGTCATGGTGTGAGAGTCATCTGCATCTTCAGGGCAGCCACTGACCTGCACCTCTCTGGTCTCTTCTCAAGGCTATAGCTGTACTCCCGGGTGATCCTGGGAGTGTGGGTTGTACCTCTTGTGCCCATCATGCCTCAAGAAGTTGGGGCTGCCCCCCTCCCCTGGTGGCTAGTGAGTCTGGAGTGGTAATGGGGCAGAGGAAAAGCTCCTGAACAACCACTCGGGAGTGTATGTACACTTGATCTCGGCCAGAAGGCTGAGAAGCAATGAACCGGACCTCAGACAGCGCTGGGCTGGGGAGAGACATGGGTCAGTGCCTCGGAAGACAGCCAGATACTGCCCAGAGATCCTAGAGACTTCCTGGAAGGAGGTGTCTGGGAAGTCAGCCCAGAGAAGATGCTGAGAATCCAGGATACAGCAGGCACAGTAGAACCCAAATAGTATCAGGGTACACTGAGACCCAGGCTGGGGACGATTCCAATGACCCTGCGTCTCTGCTATCCCGTTAAGACGCTCCTGGTACTCCTCAGGCCTGACACGTAGTAGGCGCCTACTGAACACACTGCCTTGCTCTTTACTGTGACCGACGATTGGAAGGTTATTCAGGGAGACTGGGGTTGGGCAGCTGGGCAGACGCAGAGTGGGGAACAAAAAAATAGGCTGTATTTGCTGAGAATGAGCAGAGTTCTGGGAGCCAGCATGGGCAGTAGAGAGACCACAGACAGCCGCTCACCTCGGAGAGGCCTGGTGTCATCAGGACAGAGGTAAAAGGGGTTCCAAATGTCGAGTATTAGCATGCTAGCCCAGGTGCTCAGAGGACAGCAGGGGCTGGAATGATGCTGCCCGGCAGAATATGTTCATGGGATTTTGCAGTAAGCCAACCAGATAGCCGGGGTACACGTTGTCTCTGGGAATATGGAGAAGTGGAGGCACCTGGCCTAAGAGCATCCAGTGCCAGCCCCAGCATTTGTCTGCAAAACAAGCAACTGGCCATCTGGACAGCCAGGTGCCCTCTCTCCTGTGAACCTATCACGGACCAGAGCAGGAGTCTCAGGCAGCCACCTCCTCCCAGGGCACTGGAGAGGATCAGAAAGTGCTGTTGTCACCTGTGCGTGTTTCCCTCACTAACGGATGACCGATGGCCAGGACGAAGCCCATACACTCGCCCATCCACCGGGCACACAGGCCAGAACTCCGGCAGCACCAGGAGCCTCTTCCCACAGTGTGTGGTCACGTGTGTGTCCATGTGCAGACAGATATGCATATACATATACACAGGTTTGGGTGGAGGCCTCAAGTTGGCATCAAGTTATCCCTTTGTCATTCCCACTTTAATCCTTGAGACAGGGTCTCTTGGTAAGCCTGGAACTCAATTCACCTGGAGCGCCTGGCCAGTGAACCCCAAGGACCCTCCTGTGTCTGTTCCCGGTGCTTGGATTATAGGCATGCACTATACCTACCTTCCTTATGTGGGCGCTAGGGGGTCAGACTCAGACCCTCATGCTTATATCACACGCTCTTTATCTCCCGACTCTGCCATCTCCCTCGCCCCTTCCCGTGTTCTTTATTGGCAAACCAGAGGGATGTGGTGTGAGTTCTTAGGAGCTGTGCCACCCCGTGTTTGCCCTCCAACCTCACTCTGGCTCTCAGAAGGAAAACGTTCCTCTGTGAGACTCAAAAGGAGGATCTAGAAGTGACATCTTGGCCATCTGACAGAGAAGGCAGGGCCTGCCTTGTGGACCCGAGGCCTAGCATTTACGCAATGGGAGACGTACTCTCCTGCCCCTTATGCGGAGAATGTTGGTTAAGGAAATGGAAGATCCGAGCTCTCTTGCCCACCAGTTGCAGAGAGAGCGAGGTTAAGAAAACGATAAAAACCAGAAGTGACGCATCCTCCAGGGAAAAAGCAGGCACCGGGGACCAAAGGGGTTTTTAGACTTAGCCACATTAGACAATTCAGATTTCCTTGGTTTCTAAACAAACTAAATGCAGAAACCGCATAGGAAAATCTGTGTGTTTGTGCGCTCAGACCACAGGGCAACTTCGGATGTCATTTCTCAGATGCCCATCTATTGGGATAGGGACTCTCAGGGTAATATTCATAAGGTAGGCTAGCCGAGCTAGCCACCGATCCCAGGACCCTGCCAGCCTCTACCTCCTCAGTGTTGGGATTTTTCCCCACATAGGTGATTGACATCAAACTTTGTATTTGCAAGGCAAGTACTTTACAAACTGAGCCATCTCCCGGTCCTAGGGGAAAAATGCGTGTTACAAATAAAACCTAAAGTTATCCCTTTAGGATCAAAGGAACACAAATGGTTGCCATTTTGGACTTCCTGCAAATTACCCTTTTTTCTTTGACTTTCTTTCTTTGAGATACTTATTTTTAATGTTTTGCATTCGGGAGTTTTGCCTTCCTGTATGCCTATGCGACCTGGGCATGCAGTGCCAACAGAAGCCAGAAGGGGGAGTCGGATCCTCTGGAACTGGAGGTATACCAGAGCGACCAGTCCCCACCCTCTTCAAGTCAGCCTTTGATAAATGCCAGGACAGAGCAGGGCTGTGGGTGTCTGACGAGTGTAATTGCTTATAAATACAGACAGCTTGACTCTTACAAACATCTTTTAAAGGCAGACATCTTCCTCAGACAGTGTCAAGGGAACTGAATGTAATCATTGCTTAGGGTTCACTGTGTGAGCTGCAGTGGGGTCTGGATAGCCCCATGGTGGGGTGCAGAAACGGACTCTGCCTTGTAGGATGTTTTCTGCCCTGCTTCTGTCCGAGAGGACCCACCCCCTGCAGTCAGCCCACGCTGTTCTTGCACACAAACCCTGGCCGTTGATGGTTCCTTCCTTGTGATGGCCACATGGCCCTGTGCGCTGCACATGGGTCCTCGTGCTACAGGGCAGGCTGGGGAGATCATGTACCTTGCCCTCTGTCTCCGGGATCTCAAGAAAAGAAGCTTCTCGGAGTGGGCAGGAAGACAGGTTTAGGACATGCCACCCGTAGGACCGTCAAAGGTTTCTTCTAAGATCTTTTGTCTGAAGAAACTAAAATGGTTCGCAAACGTTTCCTGTAAGAGACCGGAGTCTGTATTTTCCGTTTTTAAAGACACACACACCTCTACTGCAGCATTCAGTGCTGCCGCTGTGGCCCAAGAGCTGCAGATAGTACGTGTGCCCATAGGTGCAGCTATATTCCGGTAAAATTTCATGTACCGAAAAAGGGGGGAGTGGTGGCCATGAGCGAGGGTTCACCTTCTGCTGTGGTTTGCACACCCTTTCGCTAGGAACTTGGAATCGAGGCCCTGAGAGAAACAGATCTGGGCCCCCCCCCCCATGTGCCCCACCCTTCCCAGGTCGAGTAACCCAGAGGAGAAGGGATTCTCTTTCTGGGAATTTGAAGGCTCACACCGGACCTCACGCATCCTTACAGCCAGATTTATGCCCCCTCAGAGGGTCCAGCCCAGCAGCATCCCCAGGCGGCTGGCAGAAGCAAGCACCGTCCCTCTTGAGGAAGTGTGAAAGGATTCCCACAGATAGTAAATTGGACATCTGGGCTCACAATCAGCAACGTAAAAAACCTCGTAGGAGACTGGTCCTTCTGGTCAGAAGCCAGCGGAAGCCGAGCTGGAAGGCGCGGCCTGGCCCAGTGCAAAAAACGAGCGCTTGATATCTGTGAAAAATTAAAACACATGATTAAAAATTAAGAACAAGGAACAAATTGGCAGCATGTGAGACAGACTTTAAAATGTTTTTATCCCATTAATCCGTTTCCTGTGAGTTCCTGAGAATAGAAGCCTGGGGCTTTGGGTTTGCTGTATTGTTTCAATGGCACGTTTTCAGAAACGTTGATGATGTAAGTATAGCTTTCTTTTAATAGAGAGCCCCTTGCTAGGTGTGGTGGTACACACCTTTAATCCCAGCACTGTAGACACAGAGAGACTAGCAGCTCGCTGTGACTTTGAGATCAGCCTGTTCAGCATAGCAAGTTCCAAGCCAGGAAGGCTACATAGAGATACCCTGTCTCAGGGGGAAAAAAATAAAAATAAGAAGAAAATAAAATAAGAAAAAAAGCCATTGGTACAGTTTTGGTGGCTCCCCTGAGAAACATACATGAGGTCTCAGTCCAGTTCATGTTGACAAGTCCATGCTGCCCTTGGTCAGCAGTTGCCTGTGCTGACCCTGGTCAGAGTAGCTCTTGTCCAAATACGGTGAGGCAGAGCTATAATCACAGAACTGGGGAGGCCAGGCTGGACTACAGGTGATGCGAACTGGGGGGGGCCGAGGCCAGGCTGGGCTACACGTCAAGACCTTTTCTCAGAATGATCAGAGGCTGGGAACATAGCTCAGTTGGTAGAATGTTTGCCCAGCATGCACAAGGCCGTGAGTCCCACCCCAGCAGCACATGACAGACGGGGCATTGTTGTGCATGCCTGTGATCCCAGCACTCAGGAAATGGAGGCAGGAGAAGCAGAAGTTTAGGTTGGGGTAGAGAGATGGCTCTGCGACGGCAAGGGCTTGCTGCACAACGCTCAGAAGCTGAGTCCGGATCCCAGTACCTGCATGACAAGCTAGGTAGGCATGGTCATGCAGGCTCTGAGTGAGACAGAGACAGAAGGGTCCCTGGGTCCCCCCAAATGAGCTCCAGGTTCAGGAAGGACCCTGCCTCGGAGGAAGAAGGCAGAGAGCGATAGAGGTGGACACCAGTGCAGACGCCACGCGCTGCGGGGAGGCAGGTTGTCATGGTCGTTCTCGGTAACATAGCAGTTTGAGGCCAGCCTGGGCTACGTGAGACCCTGTCTCAAAAAGGTTGGAAGTCAAAGCGGCTAAGGGAGCTGCTATTTCTGGGACAGCAGGGGACCCACATTTCTATTTGTAGATGCAGAGGCCACAATTAGATGCCAGAGGTATGTCCTGTTGCCAGAGTGTGGCCAGATTCTGAACACGGTTCTTCTCGCACAGAGCTTATAAAATTACAAAAGTCATGGAAGTCCCACCAGAGGAGCCGACAGTCGCTGCTTTCGGATTCATTGAAATCGTGAATAATAAAGGATTTGCCGCAGCCATTCACAGTTCTCCCAAGTCCGAATGTCAGCGGTGCCCTTTGGGGTGGTGACGGTCGGTTGGAAAGAGAGTCATAGGGGCTTCCACTGTGCTCCTCTTGACTGTGGCAGGCACCACAGCCTGGTCTCACTCACCGCCTCTGACCTTCAGGGAACTACTGGGCTAGGCCGGGCCTGCACTCAGAAAGGAGGCGTCCGACCCCTCTTGTGTGGTATCTTCCCAGCGAAGTTGTTGTCTGCCTGAGTTTTAAGTGTGGCCTGGGCTCCCAGGAGGGCCGGCTGGGCCTGACCACTGCTGTTCCCGTCCGCAGAGAGCTTACTGTGGCCAGTGCAGCCAAAGGATATGGGGTCTCGCGAGGCAGGGCTACAGGTGCATCAACTGCAAGCTGCTGGTCCATAAACGCTGCCACGTCCTCGTCCCGCTGACCTGCAGGAAGCATATGGTGAGTCGGGACCTGGGGAGGGCTCATCTTCATCTTGCCAGAGTGAGGAAGAAAGATGCCCCCGAGGTGGCATATCTGTATTTTATGTATCAAAGTAAGAACAGGATCCAGACTGGGGCATGAGTGTCCCACAACACCATTCTCCCTAGAGCTCCTTTCTGCTGCGTCTGCTCCAAATCCTGACGGCACACATGACCTTTGACCCTACAGGACCACATTAACCTTAAGATAATGAAATGAACCCAGAAATATGACCTATCAGAGCTCAGTGAGGTCAGCGGTTGGACCCTAAGGGCCATCACTATAAGCTGTCTCTGATATAACTTCAGCTACGCGGGATCCCAGGGCCTTTAGACTGATGATTGGGAGCCTGGCTGCCAGCACGATGTCCACAGTGTAACAAGGGGGTATTGCCAGAAGTGCTGAAAAGCATCCCCTCTATCTAACAACTGCTGGGAAGGCAGTACCCTAAGAGCCTGACTGAGTGACCACCTCGACCGCCACCCCGTAGACTCACAGGTGGCAGACATTGTATGTACACATACACACACACGCACACACACACTCGCACGCACAGCGGTGCCGTTTGTAGTCATGACATCGAAGCGGGGTTGTAACTCCTGCCCCATCACTCCAACACCGCTGTTTTCTTGCAGGATTCTGTCATGCCTTCCCAAGAGCCTCCAGTAGATGACAAGAACGATGGTGTAGACCTTCCTTCAGAGGAAACCGATGGAAGTAGGTGCCCCTTTCCCCAGCTGAGCGGGTCCCCCTCTTCCTGCTCTCAGACAGTCAGTGTGGGTGGGCTGGGCTGGGAAGCTGCACTGTAGGCAGCCACCCCTCTGTCCCCAGGCTGCTGGCCTTCCCTGGTAGCTACTGGGCAGTAATCCCCTCATCGCTGGGAACCTGAGGCTGAGAGCGTCTTCCTCTGTGCCGATTCCAGTTGCTCTGCACAGCACTTGATATGTGACCCCCCCCAGGCCAGGCACCTCCCACGTATGGGGCACCACACAGAGCTGACCTCCACGGAGGTGGGCTCTGTATGACACGTAGCTGCTTAAAAAAAAAAATAAAATAAAAGTCAGGTTCGGTGACATATGCGTTTAGTCTAAGCACTTGGGAGGCAGAGGCAAGTAGATTTTTTCATGAGTTCAAAGCCAGCCTGGTCTACTGGCAAGTTCCAGGTCAGCCAGGGCTGTATAGTGAGACCCCGTCTCAGAGAGAGAGAGAGAGAGAGAGAGAGAGAGAGAGAGAGAGAGAGGGGTTGTTCCTTCCGGTACTCTTCCTACCTACCTACCCACCCATCCGTACATCATTTTCTCTCTCTCTCTCTCTCTCTCTCTCTCTCTCTCTCTCTCTCACACACACACACACACACACACACACACACACACACACTGTCCATCAGCTCTCTACTTACCCATTATCCGTCCACCTGTCCATCATGTCTAGCACTCACTTATTCATCCCTGTAACCATCTATCATCCGTCTGTCCATCTATTTATCATTTCCCCTCCCATGTATCCATCCCTTACCCACCACCATCCATCGTCCATCCATTGTCTGCCTTTCCCACATCTGCCCTCCCCCGTTCTGCCATGGACTGACCTATGTCCCCTCTATCCACACCCTACTAAGAAAAACTGGAAGATTATGCACCAAAACCTCGTGCCTCCATATGGTCCCAGACGTTCAATGATTTTACTTAAGATTTTTTACTTTACGGTAGTGCAAGGGTCTACCCACACATCCGTATTTCCACTGTGGGTATATGTTCAGTCATTATTAGATGGTATATTGAATGTATTTTCTTCTTTTGCTCCTCCTCCTTCAATACTCTCCTCTCTCTCTCTCTTTCTCTGTGCGTGTGCACATGTGTATGCACACAGAGTGTGTGTGTGTATGTTTATATGTTGTTGCTAGGGATCCTCCTGTTTCCAGTCCCTGGTGCTTGGGTTACAAGCATGTTCCACCACACCTGGCTTTTATGGTGTGCTACAGATCCAAACCCAGAGCCTCAGAATCGTGTGGCAAGCATTTAACTATCTTCTTCACCCCATGGTTTTGTTTGTTGGGGGAAGGTCTTCTGTAGCCCAGCTTGCCCTCAGATTCAGTATGTAGACAAGGATGACCATAAGCGTCTGATCCTCCTGCCTCTGTCTCCCAAGCGGAACGCGGGATTACAGGCGTTTGCCGTCATGCCTACTTGCTTTCTGTGGCCCTGGTGATTAAGCCAGGGCTTCATGCACTTTACCAACTGAGCTACGTCTCCAGCCCCCTTTATCTGTTTGAGACAGTCTTACTACGTGACCCTGTACAATCCTGCTTAGCTTCCCAGATGCTAGGAGTACAGGCACGCCCCACAACACCCAGCTCTAAACGAACCATGCACACTGTGTTTTCAGCACCTAGGACTTCCAGCCTGATGGATTTATCAGGCCGTGACCTCGTCTTAAGCCAAGGAACTTGTGGCTTCTTCCCAGTATCCTACCCTCCCCCATGGTCACACAGCCATGTTGATTCAGCCTAGCACTCCTTAAACTGGGGTCTGGTGTGACAGATTGGCCCCTGAGCGCTGCCGTCCTGTCTGAGGCCCCAGCTCCCTGCACTGGGGTGAGGGTCCTCTGGGTCCTTGTGCTCCTGTGACCCTTTTAATACTCTTCTTTCCTTCCTTCTCTTTCCTAGTTGCTTATATTTCTTCATCTCGGAAACATGACAATATCAAAGATGATTCTGAGGTAAGTGAATAAAATTAGTGTTGCCGGGGTCTTTTCAGGAAGCCTGTTAGTTTGCTTCTGGGGCAGTTACATGGATTTCAGTATGGCCGAGGGATATTAGGAAGTTCCTGAGCTGGGCTCCAATGAGACCAATGGCCTGATGACAGTCATGAATTTGCCACACTTTTGTCCGCTCCTAAGCTGCCCCTCTTTGTGGCTTCCTTTGTCCTTCCTGGTCTGGCAAGCCCTCAGCTGCTCCCTCAGTCGGACTTTTTCCCGGAATCTGACCCACGGGCTCCATCTGTCTCTGTCCAGCCTCATACCTGCAGCTCTGGGGATGAATCTGTTTGGGGTAGCAGAAGAACACGCTGTGCTCACGGCCTCTGCTGATCACCTCACGGAGCAGGCCCTACCCTCTCTGCCCTCACTCGCTGAACCAAGTGGGGCCATGGGCTCTGCTCTCTCCACCTGCCTCAGCCTCAGGGAACACATGCTGCTTCCCTTATGCTCCTGAAGCAAGTCCCCACTCTCCCACCCTCATGGAGCCAGGTCACTGAACTTCCTACTCTTACAGAACACGCCCAGGTTCACAGCCTAAACAGCCTCACCTAGTGAACAGCCCCTGCGTCCCCCAGAACCCTCACGGAGGCACAGCTATGTTTCTGGTTTTCTTTTAGAAGCCCACGGTCTTGGCTCTAGTTGTTCTAACCAGAGTTAGATGGGACCGGGTGCTGGGGCATGGGCCTGGCTCCGCGCTGGAGAATAGGCCTTGCTGCCTTCCGTGTGAGGGTGAACAATTCTTGGATTCTGGCCAATGGTGTCCCCTGCCCTCTCTGGTCTCCCTAGGACCTTAAGCCTGTCATTGACGGGGTAGATGGGATCAAAATCTCTCAGGGGCTGGGGCTGCAGGACTTCGACCTCATCAGAGTTATCGGGCGTGGGAGCTATGCCAAGGTCCTCCTGGTGCGGCTGAAGAAGAACGACCAGATCTATGCCATGAAGGTGGTGAAGAAGGAACTAGTCCATGACGACGAGGTGAGTGCAGGCCCACCAGAGAGTCGCGTGGTAATTCTGGGTGCAGTTTCTGGAGATATTCCAAAACTGTGTCCAACATGGTTGTATCATTTTATGTTCCTGCCAGTGGGACACAGGGCTCCATCTTCCATCTTCACCAACACTTTCTGACTTTGTTGTTTCTCTCCCAGTACGTGTGTGAGTACCCACTGTGCGCCTTTCCCTGCCAGTACGTATGTGAGTACCCACTGTGCGCCTTTCCCTCCCAGTACGTATGTGAGTACCCGCTGTGTGTCTTTCCCTCCCAGTACGTGTGTGAGTACCCACTGTGCGCCTTTCCTACCCAGTGTGTATGTGAGTACCCACTGTGCGCCTTTCCCTCCCAGGACGTATGTGAGTACCCGCTGTGTGTCTTTCCCTCCCAATACGTGTGTGAGTATCCACTGTGTGCCCTTCCCTTCTAGTACGTGTGTGAGTACCCACTGTGCGCCTTTCCTACCCAGTGTGTATGTGAGTACCCGCTGTGTGTCTTTCCCTCCCAATACGTGTGTGAGTATCCACTGTGTGCCCTTCCCTTCTAGTACGTGTGTGAGTACCCACTGTGCGCCTTTCCTACCCAGTGTGTATGTGAGTACCCACTGTGTGCCTTTCCCTCCCAGTACGTGTGTGAGTACCCACTGTGCGCTTTTCCCTCCCAGTATGTGTGTGAGTACCCACTGTGTGCCTCTCCCTCTCAGTACGTACATGAGTACCCACTGTGTGCCCTTCCCTCCCAGTATGTGTGTGAGTACCCACTGTGTGCCTTTCCCTCCCAGTATGTACATGAGTACCCACTGTGTGCCTTTCCCTCCCAATATGTGTGTGAGTACCCACTGTGTGCCTTTCCCTGCCAGTATGTGTGTGAGTACCCACTGTGCGCCTTTCCCTGCCAGTACATATGTGAGTACCCACTGTGTGCCTTTCCCTGCCAGTACGTATGTGAGTACCCACTGTGTGTCCTTCCCTCCCCGTACGTGTGTCAGTCACGTGTGTGAGTACCCACTGTGGCCTTGACTTGCAGCAACTCTGATGATGGCTGGGCTGACTCTTTGCTGTCTGCTTGTTGCTTCAGGTCCGTTTGCTGTTGTGCTGTTATCCTGAATGCCTGTTCTGTCTCTCAGGGGCAGAGAAAGGCCAGTACGTGATATCAGTGATGCTGCCCATTGGCTGCTGCCACACTAAGCAGTGTCGTGTTTGTCAGGTCACATCAAGGATCTCCACCCCCACCCCGGCCTTCAGGACTTGGGGCTGAGGTTGTTTTGGGACCTTCATGTGAAGGGTGCATTTGTACAGTGCACAGCCTGTAGTGATATTTAACTTGTGTTTTACTAAATAAAGCTTGCCTGAAGATCAGAGCGTAAAACAGCCACACTGGTCAACCATACAGGCCAGGCAGTGGTGGTGCACACCTTTAATCCCCGCACTAGAGAGGAGTGTAAGGTGGGATATGACAGGAACTCGCTCTCTTTCAGTCTGAAGATGTCAGAGAGGTGAGAACTCTCTAGTGGCCTGGCCGCTTTGCTTTTCTGATCTTCAGGTTGAACCCAATATCTGTCCCTGAGTTTTATTCTTTACAACAGCCTGTCAGGCTGTCCCTGTGTCCCTGGATGCTGAACTGCTGAGTGAGTGGGTGTCCCCATGACTTAAGCCTGTCCTCACCACCAGGTGTCACCTCTCCCTCCTGAGCTAAAACTGGTTCTCTTTCTTGAGTCACCTTTGCCCCTGGCTGCACCGCAGCCACTGCTTCCCAAGTGTCTTGCGTTTCCCAGGTTGCTTTGTCTGGGATCTGAACAAGGCCTGAGTCCCCCATTGACAAACACCCAGTGGCTCCTGGTGTCCTTGAACCTGGTCTCTGCTTGCACAGAGCTGAGACTCCTGGGACACACAGCCCCTCAGCTTCTCTCCCGGGGAACTCACCAGCTTTGTCCCGCCTGGCCCCAGGCATTGTTATGCGGTGCTGGTTTGCCAAGCCTTGGCTGGTTTCAAGTAAAATCATCTCCTAATGCATTGGTTCTCCCGGTGCCCTTCCAGCTTGTTCCCTGCCAAGCTGCTGTCAAGCCCCCTCTTTTTGTGCGGCAGCGTCAGCCCTGCATGGTGCCAGGTGTTCATTAGAGCCTATAGTGAAGCTTCTGGGGCAGGGTGGCCCAGGCTTGGGAGAGGTGGAAGACAGCCAACCCGCTGGGTTTCCACCCAGGAATCTGGTTGAGCTGCCTGTGACAGTCAGGTCCGGTAGCCACTGGGGCAGGGTGGCCCAGGCTTGGGAGAGGTGGAAGACAGCCAACCCGCTGGGTTTCCACCCAGGAATCTGGGTGGGCTGCCTGAGTGTGACAATCAGGTCGGGTAGCCACCGGGTGAGCAGGTCTAGAGTCCAGACGAAGTATGCCTAGGTGTCTTCTGCGTGGAGAAAGGCCGAAGCTGTTCCACCAGGTGGATCTTCTTGTAGCACAAATAATAAAAGCCCAGAGATAGATGTTGGGGTTCAAGCTGAGGATCAGAAAAGCAAAGCAGCCAACCACTAGAGAGTTCTTACTACTACCAAGACTTGGACAAATAAAGGGGCGATCCTGTTCTCAGAGTGACTGCAGACTGAGACACTCTAGTGGCCTGGCTGCTTTACTCTTCTGATCTTCAGCTTGAACCCTAATATCTGTCTATCTCCGGGTTTTTGATATTCATACTTTAGCTTCTAGGGATCAGGAGCAACAGAGGGCATACCATGGCTGTCTCCAGCCCACTAATTGGGTGCTTATCTTCTTTTCCAAAAACCTTCCAGTGAAGACAGCACTATTTGAACATGTCTACCTTCTCACTTTTCTGCATATCAAGATGGGGTTGGGAGCCTCACCCCACTCTGTTCCCTGGGGCTGTGGTGGAGCCAAGCTGTAGTCTCAGACTTTGCAGAATCCCACCGAGCTGCACAGAGCTGGGGGAGATGGCCCTGTGGCAGCAGCTGAGCCCTGGACCTAACTGCGGCTTGTCTGCAGACTCAGTGACCGTGGGCCTTAGGAATCTTCCTTAGTCTTCCTTTGGTGTGTCCTAATTGATTACGAAACAACCTTTCAAGAACTTTGATGGGGAACACAAGCCAGGGTATGGAGAGCCAACCCCAGCAAGCATCTTGACGGGGGGAGGCTGATGGAGGTGCTGTGGAGATGGTGATAATGGTGATGACAGAAGCGGGGATGGATGGGTGATGGTGGCGATGACCCTGAGGGACGATGGTGTCAGGATGAGGATTACAGGGTGGATGATGGTAGTGATGGTGATAGTTTGGTATTTTTTGTTTTGTTTTGCTTGTTTGAGACAGCATCATTCTCTCTCAGACTGCAGGCTGCCTAGGAACTTACTGTATAGCCCAAGCTGGTATTGAACTTGCAACAATCTTCCTGCCTTGCCTGCCTCAGTGCTGGGACCACAGGTGTGAGCTACCACACCTGCTTGTGATGCATTTCTTTTCCATCTGCAAACTGTCTTCTCGACCTCAGAGAAGAAATCCTTTCCCGTCTCACCCCTGCCTTCTCCAGGGCACCCTGCACGGCGCTCAGGAGCCTCACTGGCACTGCTTGGTCTCTGTTTCAGGATATCGACTGGGTGCAGACAGAGAAGCACGTGTTCGAGCAGGCATCCAGCAACCCCTTCCTGGTTGGCTTACACTCCTGTTTCCAGACAACAAGCCGGTAAGGAGAAACGGGTTTCCTTAGGTTCTGCTGCTTTCTGATACGGACCCCCCAGAAGCCAAGCTGAACTGCAGTCCCAGGTGTCCCGCATAGGTGCAGTCCCAGGTGTCCCACACGGGCCTCTTCCGACCACGAGCGTGGGTTATTTTGTGGTTCCCATTAGTCGGTGTTATGTTCAGTAGACTTCACGTCTCCGAGTGTATGTGACACCATTCGTGGGACCTTCTTGAAGGCACCCTACCAAGTGCAGGTCGTAGGTCCGACGCAGGGTGCCGGAGCAATCGCGGATATCCTGTGCTGCTGCTCGCTGAGCAGAGACCTGCATTACTTAGCACTACAGGTGTCACTTCTGAGCTTTACGATATATGCTGAAATTCTGCTGCTTTAAAAATGTTTGAACTTGCCGGGCGATGGTGGCGCACGCCTTTAATCCCAGCACTCGGGAGGCAGAGGCAGGTGGATCTCTGTGAGTTCGAGACCAGCCTGGTCTACAGAACTGGTTCCAGGACAGGCTCCAAAGCCACAGAGAAAAACCAAAAAAAAAAAAAAAAAGTTTGAACTTCCGTGGCCTAAGAGCACAGCCGTATGCTGTGGAGAATCTGGGGACCAGCTGACTTGGACTAACGTGTTTATCCACAATGTCCCTGCAGCCGTCCCCCACTCGGTCTGTCGCTAGCAGGACTCGTGGGAGCTTTGCAGCCCCTTCTCAAGGCAAGGATTTATCGAACCAAAAGGATAAAAACTGGCAAAGCTGAGCCAGATGTGACTCTCAGAAAACAGAGGCAGGAGGATTATGAGTTTGAGGCCAGCCTGAACTAAATAATAAAATCCGATCTAAAAGCCAACTGGGCAAAGGGAAAATGGTGCTTAAGGCAAACTCCAGAAGAAGCTAGACACAAATCTCGGGACATTGTCCTAGCCCTCCAGCAGTTTTATCAGACTGGTTATAAAGGCCAAAAGTCCTGATCTAGAAGTATTCTTGTCATAGACCATGAACTCGAGACCAGGAAAGCCAGCTGTGGAGGGCAAGGACAGACTGCCCAACCCCTCAGCCCTGCGGATGGGTGTTCACTGATTCCCATCTCCCCCATTCAGGGAAGGACCTCTGCTTTGCTTATTCTGTGTTTTCACATGTGACATAGAAACATACTAAGAAATACACTCACAGATACTGCTTAGCTAGGTCAGCACAGTTAATATAAAATCATAAGCTGAAGCCCTCGCTGTGTGCAGTTGGCACAATGAGCCATGCTGCCTACATAGGGCACTTTTTGTTTGTGTGTTTGTTTTCTGTAGCTTTGGAGCCTGTCTTAGAACTTGCTCTGTAGACCAGGCTGGCCTCATACTCACAGAGACCCGCCTGCCTCTGCCTCCCGAGTGCTGGCATGTACCATCACTGCCCAGCCGTAGGGCACATTTTGTAGGGACCAATTTGTGGTTCAAGTTCCCCAGCTTTGGCCTTTGGTGTGATTCTATCTGAAAAGCCCTGAACTGAACTGGTCTTTTCCCAGACCAGTTGGGTATAAGTCTATTGTGACTGGTAGCATTCCTGTCACCTGTTGGGAATTCTGTTGTCATCCCCTCCCTGCTTCTCACTCCTGAATGTGTCTGATATTCTTTCCTTTCTCCTGCTTGAAGCCTGGCCACAGCTGCCTCAGGATGCCCAGGCCCTGAGCTCCCCACACTGTTACTTCCATGGTATGGAACCAAGGAATTCTGAGATCTGTCTCCTGACCGGGGCAGCTCTGATTACTCTGTAGTCACCACTGGGAGGAAATGCAGGTTTCCTGTACATGGGAGAAAGGACATTGTGCCCAGGCCCCATCTCCGCACTCCAGAGTCATCCCCTGCCCTTGCCTCATAGAGCCCTTTCTCCCTGTTCCATCCCCGCCCCCGAGCCAGAGCCACCAAAAAGGCTCAGCAGTCAATGGTCCCCTTTGTGCACCCCGATGGCCTTGTCTCCACACTGCCCTGGCCCTGACCACGTCTCTTGTGAGTGGGAACAAGCCTGAGGGAAGGCAGCCCAGCCCAGCCTTGGAGCTCTCAAGGGGTGAGACCGCAAAGCACTGGTCTGGTCTAGTCCGCATTTGCAGGGCTCGGGAGTCCCAGCAGCTCCACCCAGGTCACCTCAGTGCAGAAAGCGATGCCGGGACAATGGCCATACAGCAGCTTCAGCACCCACAGCGGTACGGCCTGGTCCCAGGAATAACGCCCGGGCACTACTGTCAAGTTTCTTTGCCCGTGTTTCTTTGCACTGGCTCTCTCACTGACCCTGGAAGCATCTGGCCTGGGTTGTTTAGGGTTTGCATCTCTCCCGTGGTGTTTTCCTTTGGGTCCATCTACTTTGACCTTCAGCGGATGTATATGTATGTATGTCTCCCTTGCTGTGAACTCCCTCAGAGAAGGGCTTGCTATGTGTTTTTATACCTCCAGCGTTTGGGTGCCTGTCAGTAAACTGTGATGGTCCAAGTGGGGAAGACTTAAGGTAAAATCATGTTTCCTGTACAAACATAAAATGTGCACTCATAAATTTCATGACTTGTTGCCAGGTGTGGTGGCACACACCTTTAACGCCAACACTCGGGAGGCAGAGGCAGGCGGGTCTCTGTGAGTTCAAGGCCAGCCTGGTCTACAGAGAGAGTTCCAGGACATCCAGGGCTGTTACACAGAAAGACCCTGTCTCAAAAAACAAACAAAACCAAGATTTCCTGACTTGCAAGGGAACCAGCAAGACATTGCCGCCAGCCCTGGCACAGTGGCAGCTTAGAATGTCAGTGGATTCACGACGGCTCAGAAACAGGGTTGACAAAGCTCCTTCACTCAACAGACCTAACTGGCAGGTCTAGGAAACACTTCTTTCGTGTTACTGTCCATGAAGCCCCTCTCACAGACTGGCCCCTGTCACAGGCCACAAAACTCTAGAAACAGGCATCAGAGACAGCACCAGCCACACAGTTCCTGATCCCCTAAGATGTCTTATCCTCACTTGGTCTGCCCTGAAGATTTGCTGACAGCAGTCAGTCAAGGCCGAAGCCCACCCTTCCTAGTTCTTGGTTCCTGCCCTGCGCAAACACCCATGTGTTTCCAATGGGAACAAAGCTGGAAAGTTCTGGAAGGTACTTGATGTGGGAAGCCCTTCTCCCGGTTGGCGCTGTGTCTTTTGCACAAGCCAGTGGCAGCATTGTGAGCCAGCCCCAAGGAAAGGGAAGCCAGCTTCTCCCTCAGAGACACTGACCACAGGTCCTCCCTCTGGTCACAAGGTGAGGCAGAGCTTCCAGGAACAGAAAATCTGGTGCCTGCAGTTGGGTATGGGATACACCTGATGCCTGCTTGCCCTGCCTCACCCACCTCGTGACCACGCGGCTTATAAAGACGTCTCCCAGAAAGTCAGCCTGAGGTCTCGCCGAGCCTGTTGCTAGGGGCTGGATGAATGTCAGTGTGTTCTGCATCCCGGCAGATCACACACAACAGGAAACCAATGAAACTCCAGACAGGATGCGCGCGAGCACTCGCTGGCAGCCGCGAGTGGAAATCTAGTAAATAAAAGACAATGGTTTCCACATGTGCCTGGTGATTATAAAGAGGCCTCTTCAGGCTTGGGGGATCGAGGGATAAGGATTTCTTTCTTCCCTTCCCCGATCTAGTGGTGCCTGTTCTGGTGGGCCTCACAGAACCCTTGCTCTCATAGGCCAGCTCCTCTTCCAGGATGTGTGTAACGCGGGTTACAAGGATGGAGCATTTGTAACACTAAGCATCTGTGTACGAGGAACCATACCCCATGGCTCCATGGTTTTTTCCAACAGTAACCAAAATTAAAAATCTGCCACAATACCTCTTAAAAACAGGGAAATCCTTTCAGCTGGCACTATTCCAGGAAAAATGGCAACCAAAAAGGCCACCTTTTGAACCCTTTGGTATGTGCCCCCAGTTTAAGTGTGGCCTGGGACAGGGATGCAGGCCGCCACTGGAGTGTCTGTTGCTGGCTACAGACTTGCTTGAGACAGAGAATAGGGGTTTTTTGTGTGTGTTTTTGTTTTGTCGTTTTGTTTTTCAAGGCAGGGTTTCTCTGTGTAAGGGTTCTACCTATCCTGTAGACCAGGCTGGCCTCAAACTCACAGAGATCCACCTACCTCTGCCCTCGAGTGCTGGGATTAAAGGAGTGCACCACCACCGCCCAGCTGAGTGTAGGTTTAACATGGGCAGAGCCTTAGGTTCAGTTCTGAGCACCAAAAAAAAAAAAAAAAGTTCCTTGGCCTGCTGTGGAGTTTTTTATTACCATTGTGTGTGGGAGGAGGGGTGTGCCAGCCTTTCTGGAAGTCAGAGGACAATTCTAGAGAGTTGTTTCTTTCCGTTTACCTTTATGTGGGTTGTGGGGTTCAAACTCAGGTCACCAGGCTTGCTCTGCAAGCCTATTGCTGCCACCCAGCTCTTACTTTTAAGGCAGGACAGACCTGCTCACTGTTTGTTCTTAGAGAAGCTCCCCAAAGGTATCTTGTCTTCCATACTTGAGGAAACTCGTTCTGCCTAAAGTGGCTTCTGGGTATTAAATACCACTTGATCCTCTGTGTGTATTTATGGATAACGATAAAATCAGCCACGGTGCAAAAGCAGGAGAGATATTCTTCTCTTAGGAGATCAGGAAGTAATCCCCCTGGAATAGGTCATAGATGTATCAGGAGGCGGGGGCACAGAGATTGGCATCCAGACGAGGACATAGGAGTGAAGAAGATGCCTATGGGTCCACAGGTATGCCTGGGAAGGAGGAAAAGCTTGGCTAGGTGACACATTGGGACTGAGCAGCCACAGGGCCTCAGGTACCTATCCCGTGCCACAGTGGAGAGAGAGGAAGTCCCCCAACTTGAGCCTACCTAACTCCCCAGGAATAAGCAAAGCAGCCCAGTGATCCCTGGGCAGGGCTGAGCTGGATGTAAAGAGAAGCCCAGTGGGTGTGGGAGACAGAGCAGATGAGGTCGTCGTGATAAGAACCAGGAAGTGACAGT